ATGAATGGTATGGGCAGCGAGCTTTCGTGCCGTGGGCCATGCAACGGCCTGGGGTCCCAAAAGGCAGATCGCAGTCGCAATCGCGCATCTTATGCCCGCTTTCGCAGATGCTGTGTCCACATGGCACGACGGTACCCACTGCGGGAGCACCGCATACACAGCAAGCGCCGACGTCACGCACAGCAGCACTCTGCCGACCATTAGACATGATGCATTCTGGAGGACACTGGATCATACCCAGCCATTGGAGGCATTGTCCAGTTTCGCTCGCGCTTCTAAGTACTCGCGTTTCGTCGCGACATGATCGTCCTGGTCCTTCCGACGAGCGAGCGTTGCTTGCTGAAGAGCCCCTTCGAGCTGCAGCACCCGCGCTGAGGAATCTCTGAGATCGGACTCCATTCGACTCAGTCGATGAGCGAGTATATCTCGCTCGAGTTCAGCTTCGCGTCTTTCTCTCAACGTCTGCTCCAGGTGGGCGTAAATCTTCACGAAGGCGTCAGCTCGTGGTAGACGCCGTGAAGGCGACGCACCTTGGGGAGGGGAAGGGTATTCATAATTGATGCTCGACACTCCAATGGTGCTCCTTATATTCCTCTTCAATCTGAATACCACCTGACATACGCTGCATAGCAGAGGCAACGGCGGCCACCGCTGATTGCTAAGGCATGGCAACAATCTGACGGCCGGTAACTATCACGGCGCCCGACGCATTCATTGAGCTCGCCGTCGCGCTAATGGTGTGAATCCCCTTCAGAAGATCGAGGGCAGATAGCAAGGAACAAGGCAGGCAGTTGACGTTACGTTACCATCGCAGCTCAGCTTCATCGTCCTTGATATTGCATGACCACCTACCCATATATTGCATGTTTAGAGACGGTCCGGAACTAGAGACATGGCCAGAGCATCCGCCAACTCCAGATGATAACATAGCCGCCGGCCTCGCGTCGCGCGGCAGCCGGCGACTCCGGCCCAGGTGGAGCGGGCGGAGTCCCCACTTGAGGCGGAGCCGCCGACTCACCTGTAAAGCATTGGCTCTGAATGGATGAGCCGCCCGGTGAGGTATGCTAGGGCACCAACGACTGGTAGGGACAGTGAGCGACGAGGGTCTTATGATTTCAAGGAGTAACAAAACCATAGAATCAAAAACCAATCCGGACATGGGAGATTCCTGTATTCAAACCTCCCATTCCCTCCAGTTGTAGAAGAGGGCGGTCTCATTCTCATCCATCGCCTTGTCGGGGTCTTCTTCGAACTGCTCAATCCACTCCTCTGGCCACCCGCTGGAGGGGCATTCCCCTGGAATGGGACCAACGTACATCCCTAGCATTTGGCGTTCATCAAAGGACCCTGCAAATCACCGGGGTTTGTACATACCTGGAGCGAATGAGACACGCGCGGTGACACCGATGCTTTGGGCGAGGTGAAGCAGCAGAGACCGAGCATGCGGCTTCCATTTCAGGCCTTCGTTCTCTCCATAAGGACGTCGCAAGAGACCGGAGGGATAGCGTGCTTGAGACGCCCGATGACCATCGTCCAAGTCACTGTCGGTCGCGCTGGAATCGGTGCTCTCCGAGTCACTTGCCTCGTCCTCTGCGTCGTAGATGATCAAGATGATCATGGAGCAGCGCCGTGGAAGCGCAAATGACTGCCACCATGAGAGCGTCAGGCGATCACCGCATATGCCTGTAACGTCGGCATTGTTCCCCCCTCGGTAGCCTCCTCCACGGCCCATGTCAGAGTAGAAGACGCTCATGATGAAGAATTCGAGGTGAAGCTCGGTGATGGGTGCTAACGCGTCGTTGGATAGGACGCGAATGAGGTTCTTGACGCCATCCATCTCCTGCAATCGGTCTCCGCGTCGCGTGAGCATCCGAACATGAAGCTCGCGGAGGGCAGGCAGATGCCCTTCGAAATGCAGGCCTGCGCCTTCTGTATCTGTGAGAGAGGTTTCAGTGAGACATAAGCCTGACATGATTGGTAGCCACTCACCGTCGTTCTCGAGGAGCATGCTGGAAGATATATGCAAGCGTTCGATGCTGCTTCGAACAGAGCCCAGGCAAGCACGCAGGGTGGTCCAAGTGACATCAGCTCCTTTGGAAATGTCAAGCGCGGTGAGGGGTGGGTGCCAGTGGGGCGGAAGCACGAGCTCAAACCACGCATCCGTCACCCCATTCCCAACGATGAGCTCTTCGAGCCTCACCCAAGGCGCAGTTTCACCGGATAGTGGCTCCCGCTGAGGGCCTTCTATGTGCTGTATCACAAGCTTCTTGATTCCAGTCACTTCGGACATAAGCGCAAACAGATCACGCTGGCGGCGAAGTACCAAGACGCAATCCAGCCTTTCTAGATGGGGCGACGCCCGCAGAAAAGGCAAGAGACAGGAGATGGCCATAGTCTCCCTGTAGAGCGCATCGTCGGAGTCGGGGGAGAATGTGAGGCTTTGAAGACGCAGGGGGGCGGATCGAGTGGCATGCGGGATGAGTTCACGAGCGAGCCTGGTATCATGCAGCACGAGTTCGCGCGCGGTTGCCAGAAGACCACGACCCAGCGCTTTTATGGAGCGCTCATCGTCTTGATCTACCACGATCGTCTTGAACATCAGGGGCACCAGTCGGGTGCGCAGGGCGTGATTGACAGAGGACACAACAAGTCGGGTGTCCCCGTCGGCATAGGTTGAGATATTGAGCAAAATCGTATCAGGGATTGCTGCAAAGGCAGGATATCTGCATCAGATACTAGAGACTCAGACTACAATGTCATACCTGCCACCATCTCTCAAGACCGACCAAGGGCGCAAGATCCGCGTGGCAAACACGCGCGTATGGGTTCCAGCCCATAATCACGTGACAATGCCAGGCCCGCCGGCGGACTATGACGGGGATGGCTTGACCTGTCCCTACTCCTTCTTGCCCCTGACTATGTCTTCCTGAAGGAACGGCAACTATCTCAATCACTGGCATGGTCTACAGACCCGGCCCGGAGACTTGTGCTGCTGTAAAGAGCTCACCTTCCTTATAAGGAGCGAACCGTCTCGACGTAGGGCAGGAACAAAGAATTGCACATTCACAGGAGCACACATTCAGGGAACAAGATGGCTAGCATATAGTGTCAGGAGTAATTCTCGTACAGACGATGGGGGAGGCGACTTTGCAGAACAGGAAGGACGCAAGATGAGTACTGCACATGAGGACGAGCGGCGAGCCGGGCAGGAGATCAATCCTCGGAGGCCATGTCGTCCTCCAGCTCGAGATCCCCAAACCACAGGTCAAAGAGCGGCTGGTGCTTCTCGAGGCAGACCTTCAAGGAGGCGATCGCGTCAGCGGGCGTACGCCTGCCATAGTTCTGGCAGAGCCATCAGCACGTCACACACCAGCCAAGGGACCCTGTACGTACGTCGTCCAGCGCGGTCCGCACTTCGACGAAAAGACATCTGAACTCTTTCTTCACTTCGCGGACCTCATGTCGGCGAAGGCGTGCGGTCCCGGAGTGTTCCTCGATGGACTGTTGTAGGCTGCTGACAAAGCTCTCCGACGAATCGAGTCTGGCCTTGGTGAGGTCGAGCCATTGCTTCAAGTCATCTCTTTCAGCCTCTGCCGCTGCGCGCTTCTTGAAGGCGTCGTCGAGTATCGCCTGCACCTCCTGAAATGTCCAAGGCATCAGCGTATCGATGACGGCGGCACACACATGCGCGTACTGCAGTTGACGCGACTACGCGCGGAGGCTGTTCCAGCGATCGTCAGTGGGAAACAAACAGGCATCGGAGAGGGGTCCACTGACCGCGCCGTCATCCTGTGAGAGAGGCAGCATGAGTTCGGCATATAGGCAGGCGCAACAATGCACTCACGTTTTGGTTAGAGGCGTTGGAGACGTTAGCGGTCGACATTGTTGGCGGTAGTGAGTGGGGAGACGGAGAAACAAGCGCCAGTGAACGCCGGGTATAAGAGCGAGGAGGTGACCCACCGTCTGTCATCCGTCCATTGAGGCCGGTGAACCCTATCTTCAGATCAGGGTCCTTCTCGCACCAGGTTGAAAGGCCAGCGAACCCTTGATCGCACGGCAGGTCCCCGCCAGGGTACGCGCGAGCACCCTGGTGATAGGCGGCCGGCGGTTCAGAAGACATCCGACGGCTACCAGATATACTATCCTGAGCCTGATCATGACGGGCTTCCCAAGAGTGTATAACAGACAGCGGGGTCGCCCATGCAGCTCTCCTGGCGTACGAGCGCATGAGCCCCGGAGCTAGGGTTGATCCAGCGTGGGGACGGTCAGCAACGGGGCGAGGACGAAAGATGTAAACACTCACCTGGCCATAGCGAAGCACGGCGGGCATGTTAGCATGGGACACGGGTGCAAGGTCACCAAAGGGACACGTCTAGAGGGCTTGCTCATGGAAGTCCTACTCAATGACGACATGGTAGAGAGATGCCGAGGGTGAGCGCGCGCACCTCCGCGCGTACTGTACAGGTTAGTACATTTCCATGTTCAGCCATCGGAAGCTCGACGCATGCAATGTGCCTGCACAACGTTGAGTGTACACCAAGATGATTGGACGATAGCCTGACGCTCGATGAGTATATATCGGAGAATACAGCGCACCGGGTGCGCATCTGACGGCCTCGAGGAGCTCGGGTGCAATGCAGGCCACGCACTGTATGTGGGACACATGATAGCGCCGCCCAGTACCCCGACTTAGGGACAGCGCGACGGCTATCCCTGTTGTCGGGGGACGACGGGCGACTCTATACACTGCCGTCGCACCGGGCAGATCGCGAGCGTCCTTGGGGCTAGAAATTATGCGGTATACGGAAAGAGGTTGCGTTATCGGTATGCGTACATCGTGCGACGTGAAGCAGGCAGGAGAGTATGAGCCTCACCCTCCCCTCACGCTCATGAAGCCGCCGATAATGCGGAGCGAGCTCTTGGAGCATTCGACTCCATCGCCGGCAATGTAGCTGCCTTTGTAAGAGTATGTACGACATGCGTAGCTGAATTTGCTCACTCGGGCACATTTGCGGGAAAACGGACTGCGCATGCGCCAAACTCCTGGACGAGCATGGCGTCCCCCCGCGACTGACGACGTGGCCCCAATGGAGAGCTCCTTCTTGGTGCGCTGTGCCGTACCTGCGGGTGGAATACGGAGATTGAGAATCCGATATTGTAGTCCCCGCGCTTGAAGCCACGCGATGCAGTGGAGCGACCTGGAGCGCACTCTGTGATGGACATGCAGCACTGGCTCAGTCAGATATCGGTGAGAAGGATGAAGCTTTAGCGTAGCATCCTCTTGAAGGAGAGCCAAGGCAGCGAGCGCAGGTCTCCTCGCGCTGCGGACCGATCCGTTCCCAAAAAGGAAGGAGGACGTTCTGCCGCGCAGCGAAGGAAAACGTCCGGGTCCTTGAAACGAGGGTTCCTCAAGTCTAATCCCGCCTCAAGGGCAGAACCTCACAGCCGTCTCCCCACCGACACTCCGCTCGCCCGTGCGGGCCGGTCTCCCTTTCCCTCTGGCGTTGCGAGCCTTGCTCAAACTGCCCACAGTTCTGAAGGCACCAACACGCAC